CACTTTGACGTTTTCTTGATGATTTCCTCATTTTTCTAAATCTTGTCGTGATGATAAGAATCTCTTTTAAACGAGATATTAAAGTAATAAACTTTTACAGGATGTGGTCGGTTCACCGTGTCAGCTGATGCGGAGGTCGGAGGTCGTCCTTCGTCCTCGTGAGCGGCCTCTTCTGCTCACTCAGACGTCGGGGCTTCCATATCTGGGCAGGAAAAACCTCCCAGCAGCCCCCTCTCTCTCTCTTTGACATGAACAGCCTGTGCTGCTCGCTCGCCCTCCTTCCTCCTCGTCCGGCGCTCTGTCTGGCGGCGGAAACACATTCCAGCCGCTTCATTCCTGCAGTCACCCCCCCCCGTCTTACAGAGAAAGGCTCCTTCCTCTGAGCGACTGGAGGCCCTTTTCATGTTCAGACCTGAGTCTGGGCCCCCTGAGGAGAGGCCCCCGGGGGTCAGCGCTCCACAATAGGCGGGTTAGAGCTGCTTAAAGCCAAACCGGCTAATTGACGGCGTCGCGTTTTGTTTCTCTGTGGCGAGGTTTTAAATCTGCGGCTAGAAAAAAAGGCTGTTTGGTTCTTTAAAGGCTGAGATCACCGTTTTTTAATTTAACCCAGACTTCCTGTTTATGAGCAGAGGAGGTCGACCTTCTTCAGCTTCACCGGTCCGCTGAAACAAACCGTCCCAGGATTTATTTCAGCAACAGAAAGACTTAAACAAGCTTTTGTTCCCGGCTGAGAGAAGCAGATGAAAAGGTTGATTTAATCATCAGGGAGCTCGTCCGTGTCGACGCACTTCAAATAATAAAAAAGCATCTTTCTTCACTCGTCACTGTTTGTGCTGAGACTGGCGGAGCGGCCGGTGTGAAAACAGGGCTGCAGCTAACTTTAAGTTCATTATTGATTTAGTAGTTTGGTCTATAAAATGTCATCATATCCGTGTTTCCCAAAGCTCGAGGTGGCGTCCTCAGACGTCAGTCTACTGTCACAGAGGAGCAAAGAAAAATATTCACATTTTAGAAGCTAAAAATCAGAATTTGCTCGTTTTTTTTTTTTCTTTAAAAATTGACTCCCAACGATGAAGAGTTGCAGATTAATATAAAAGTTGACAGCTAGTGGACTAATCGTTGCAGCTCTTTATGAAAACAAGTCCTGGATAATCCTGATGAATTTATCTCCATGTTCTGAAACAGAAACGTTCAGCTGCTTCATTCTCTGCACTCTAACTTCAGTCGGTCGGGATGACATATCGGCCTCGTGGATTAATCGGTCCGTCCCTAATTTCAGCCGCCGTGCTCACCTGCAGCTTTTCCGTAACGAGGGAGAATGTAAACGTTAGCAGGGTTTTAAAAACAGGCTGACCCGTTAGGACGAGCTGCTACTTGTTTTGTGGGTTTAAATAGAAGGAATTTGTTCTAGTGTTGATTTCTAACGACGGCGTCAGAGAAAGAAATATTAAATCATATGAACTAAATGTGATTTATATGGAGTTTACAGCGTATACTGTGTCTAATGCTGTTTGAGAAATATAATTCAGTTTTTCTGTAAGGGGAGCTGCCTGGTTTTATAAAACCGGTTAAAAACCATGAGATATTTGTTGGATGTCACTGCTTCAGCTTGGTTTCTCAGAAAACAGACAGAAAAAGCTGTAAGTTTGGCAGAACACTTCAGCCCGTCAGCTGGCGTTAAAGCCGGATAACTTCCCCTCAGGAGGGTTTGAGCTGCACAACCAGGAGCTGTTAAAATGATGGAACATCTCAATGAAGTCTGGCTCCGTCAGTGAGTCTGTGGTGCAGTCAGTTTTTTTTGTTCTGGCGTCATACGGGACGGAACAGAAACGTGGTCTTTGTTTGCACGCCCGACTGTAAAATTCTTCCCCTCATCAATACGGCGATTGTTCTGGAAGAAAGGCAGAATTCCTCCTGACCTCCTGCTGCAGGCACTTCTAACAGAACTCCATTTAAAAAAAGCAGCATTTAACAGAAGGTTCGCTCGCATGTGCAGGTTCTGCTGCTGGAACGAGTCGTGATGAGGCGGCCGGCGCTCAGCTTGTCACGCACATTCTCGGCTCTGATTGGACGTTTTCTTTCCTGGCTCTGGTGCACGATGAAGCAGTTTGTTTTTCTTTTTCACGTCCCAGAAGCTTTTTAAAGGTTCTGCTGTAGAGAATTACGGGTTAATCTGCCAGCCCAGAGATATTCAGTCTTTTCTCACATATGATAAATAAAAGAAGCCTCACGTTTTTAAGGTGGACAGCGTGAATAAAAATGAGGAATTCTTTCCTGTATTTTGAGTTTGGTGCTTTTGTCTCCAGTTTTTAAAGTTAAACTTTTCTTGAACAACCTCTGACTCTGTAGACCGGTTTATATTTCCCAGAACAGCCAGGAACACGAGGTCACGAGTTTAAACTGCTCGTTAACACATTTGTTGTGATGTAGATCTTAGATCGTGACGCCCAGCTGTTGTTTGCTCCATTTGAAATAATTGCCTGTTACTGATGAAACTCCCCTCGTCCAATCAGAGCGTCCTCTCGGTCCCAGCAGCCACCTGTGTTCAGCGCCTCCTTTGTCCCGTTTCAGAGGACGCGGAGGCGTTTTTCTTCTTTCTGAGCGAGTCTGTCCCCGACCGCCCCGGGTCCCCCTCAGAGACGCCTCTTCATGAAACGCTTTGATCCGGGGCCAGAGAGGCTCTCCATCACAGATGTCGAGGATCACATTAGAACAAAACTCCCTTTTTGTTCTGAAACTCCTCCGGGCTGCTGGGAGATCAGGACCGTCCTCAAACTGAGCAGACGGGGTCTTCAGGTCTTCAGATGTCCCTCGTCCGGTTTGTGTTTAAACATCTAATAAAGATCATTTCAGCCGTCGGCTCGTTATTTATTCTGAACGCTGGAAACGCGGCGGTCAGCTCGGGGCCCGTATGTATCGAGCTTCTCAAAGTGACGTTTTAGTCTTACGTGCTGAGAATTCATGAAATTTACTCCGACTTCCAAACTTGAGAATAAAATATCAAATTTCTTAAAGCCAAGAAGCTCCAGAGGCCCCTCAGGAGGCCAGGAGCTGCCTGTAGGGGCCAGTGATGGCGCCGTGGAGACAGAGAGATGCGCAGATACTTGACGAGGTTAATTAGACGGGGTCGGACGTCTTCGTCTGCGAGTTGGTGAAGGACGCCACCTCGCCGCTGACTTCACGCGGCTACACGTTTAGCTGTTTATTTGCCACAGAACAAACGCGGCGCTGCTGATGGGTTTGGCCCGTCACAACCACGAGGGCTGTAGCAGCAAGAAGGTCGCGGGTTCAAACCCCGAACATTCTGTTTTCTCTTAAAAAACTCCTTTTAGCAGTTTCACCAGTCAACGTGAATTTATCTGGGAATATTCTTAAAGAAGGGAATCTCTTCAGTGATTGGTCCTCGCCTACATCGTCATCCAGAATCTGAGTGTCGTGAATCGGCTCTCGGGCGAGCGGCTGGATAAATCCGGGGCCCTGGCTCCTGCTTCTAAATCCTGCCTTGTCTCTGCGGGAGGAGGAAGCCCGTGTGTGTTTGCAGTTGCTTCATTGTTTCCTGTAATAAACTGCAGCCTTTTGTCAGCGTCCTATCAGCTGCTTCACCTTTATTTGCTGTCGACACAGAGAGGGGCCCCCCAGGAGCCGGGGCCCTTTGTCAGCGCACTGTTTACAGAGCAGATTCTTTAGCTGAGCAAACAGCCGTATCACCCCCCCCCCTCCTCTGTCCCGCTGCCCGGCTCAAACATGGCGGCGTTCCTTCACGTGCTGACTGACAGAGCGTTTCGCAGTGCGCTCGCCGGCCTGCTCAGACTCGCCGAAGTATGCGAAGAGCGGGACGGCGGACTCGGAGTCACGGCGTTCCCGCATCAGCTCAGTCCAGGAGGCGGTCCGGGTCCAGCTGCACGGGGGCGTCTGCAAAGCCTCAGAGACACTTAAATCTGTTTCCTGTGTTCCTCGCGTGAGACGACTCTCGGGGTTAAATGTTTATTATGGGAAGTCATGTAGAAAGAGAAGCATCGAGATCATTGCAGCAAAATCTCCTCATGTCACGAACCAGCGGGTTTTTTATTAGTTACTAGTTAAGATACAGATTTTTTTTTTTGTTGCTTTTTTATTAATGTATACACACGCACACACTTACTGTTTGATTTATTGTTAATATTTTAATTTATTTATTTTTTAACACACAGACACACTTTTACTGTTTTATTTAATTTTTAATATAATTTATTTTTTACCAAACACTTAATGTTTCTATTTATTTATTTTTTTTAATATTTTTAATTTAATTTTATATTTTATATATTTTTTTCTCATTTATTTTTTAACACACCCCTTTTACTGTTTTGTTTATTTTATTTTTAATATTTTTTATTTATTTTTATATTTTTTAATTTATTTATTTTAACACACAGACTTTTACTGTTTTATTTGTAATATTTTTTATTTATTTTTATATTTTTTTTATTTTTTAACACACAGACTTTTACTGGTTTTATTTATTTTATTTTTAATATTTTTTTTATTTATTTTTATATTTTTATTATTTATTTTTTAACACACAGACTTTTACTGTTTTATTTATTTTATTTTTAATATTTTTTATTTATTTTTATATTTTTTTATTAATTTATTTTTTAACACACACTTTTACTGTTTTATTTACTTATTTAATGAACTGTATGAAATGAATTGTTCGTTCATTTGTAGCTTCGGTAATATTGTTTATTAAATTGAATCAGCTGAGGACAAGAGGACCGAACTCAGCTGATTAATAATCGTTAATAATCGATCAGGTCGGGCTGAACGTTGATTGAATTCATGTAACACCGATCTGTTCAAAAACAGTCGTGAGATAAAGGAGGCTGATAATAAACTCAAATCACAAAGAGACGTCAATGAAAAGTCTCCTAAGCTTCGTTAAGCTCTTGACTCTTGACAGTTTGGCTCCGCACGCCGCTTATAAAGTGTGAAACACTGATCTGTCTTCTTCTCTGCAGGTAAATCCTTCGACATCACCTACGTCCGCCTCAAGTTCCACACCAGCCGCCCGGAGAGCTTCGCCATCTACAAGCGGACCGGCGAGGGCGGCCCCTGGGTGCCCTACCAGTACTACAGCGGCTCCTGCGAGAAGACCTACCAGAAGCCGAGCAGCGGCTTCATCCGCACCGGCGAGGACGAGCAGCAGGCGCACTGCACCGACGACTTCAGTGACATCTCGCCGCTCACCGGCGGGAACGTGGCCTTCTCCACGCTGGAGGGCCGGCCCAGCGCCTACAACTTCGACAACAGCCCCGTCCTCCAGGTGAGCGCCACGCCGGGTGGGGGACAGGAAGTGGTAGTGGTGTTTCCTGTGACTGTAAATGTTAAGTGAAAAAAACGGATGCCGAACTTTGTCCAACGTGATGCGGATCTGTTATAAATATGAGTCCGTGCTTTGTCAGGTGTGCCAGCGAGACCGCAGGACAACAACTGTTAAAACGCTCGTTTTCTGAATGGAGTTTGGCTCGATCAGGGCTGTGCTATGCTAACTTCAGTCATGTCTGGTAGTTCAGCTTCCTTTTCTCCCAGCAGCCCCCAGTTCACACGTTACAGGCTCATTAAATATTCATTACAGGCTCATTAAATATTCATTACAGGCTCATTAAATATTCATTACAGGCTCATTAAATATTGCCCTTCAGGGTCTGATGAGGTCTGCAGCAGCGACGGCCGCCTTTTTCCCAGCAGGCCGTTTCTGCAGGTTCGATGCGGCCAAGTGTTGCGACATGTTGCTAGGCGACGCCCCCGGATTTCCCAGCAGCAGTTTGGTTCCACCGACCTGCAGCTGGAGACTCTGCTCCT